ATATATATATATTGTCACATGATATCAGAGCGCCTAAGCGAAAAAACCAAAAAAAACAAAAAAATCTTAAATTCGTTTTTAATCTTCTTCCTTACAACTCCCCCTGTTCAGAACCTCTTGCGTACAAGGCCGCCCACGTGGATATATATATATCGTCACAAACAGAACTGCCCGGTAAACCGTAGGCAGAGAGAGAGAAGACGACAACAAACGAGGGGCTGTGACAAACTGTTTCGTCGGAGTTTCACCGACTCATCAGGAGGCTGAACCCTCAACAGTCTGCAGAATCCCCTCACTGAGTACACTGTAAATGATAATCTACCTTAACCAAAACCAAAGTAGACTATCACTCACCCACACCAGATGGATAGGGTTCAGCCTCCTGATGAGTCGGTGAAACTCCGACGAAACAGTTTGCCACAGCCCCTCGTTCGTTGTCCTCTTCTCCCTCCCTCTCTGCCTATGGTTTACCGGGCAGCACAGGGGGCGGTAGTTGCAATAGATTGATTTCTGTTTTTGCAGGCAAAGTGTTTTGATATCCTGGTTGGTCTTGTCCCGTCGTTTGGCCTGTGACGTGGGGGCGGTGCTTGCATGTGGGACTTGTCATCTAGGATTTGTTTCCCCCTGTTTTGTTGTGTTCAGCTGTTTCCTTCCTCTTTTCTTTGCCTCTTTGCCCTTTGGATGTGTGCAAGTGGGTCGATATGACACACGGGGTTGGGGGCAGCCGCCGCTCTACCTACATCCACTTGGGCGGCCTCGTACGCAAGAGCTTCTGAACAGGGGGAATTGTAAGCAAGAAGATAAAAAAACGAAGTGATAACTTTGTGACAATATATATATATCGTCACAAACAGAACTGTTCGGTAAACCGTAGGCAGAGAGAGAGAAGAGGACAACAAACAAGGGGCTGTGACAAACTGTTTCGTCGGAGTTTCATATATATATATATATATATTTGTGGTTGACATTCTTGGCTGCCTTGGTTAATGTTTCATTGATTCTGCGGCCTGACACATTGTATGGGTCTTCTGCTGCACTGTGTGTGGGCCTTCAAGCTCTTGTTTGTGATAATTCTTGTGGTTGCCAATCTCAAAGCTTCTGAAGCAAATGCATCACTTTTCCTGCCACCTGATCGAATTTTGCAAGTTGGAAAAGATGTGACCACACACGAGAATGGACATCATGATCGACAAGGAGTGGTTTCATGGGTTCATCGGCCTGAGTTGAGAGAGGGTCGCCGAATGGAGTTGGCTGAAGTATATGACAAACTGTCCAGTGATGACAACGGTGAAGGACGGATGGTAGACTCCGGGCATGCTGCATCCCATCTGTTCAGAGAGGGTACGAAGCACAGAGAACTAAGAACACACGCAAGTTATCGCAGACCCACTCGTCCTCTCCGAACCTTGGCTTCGCTTGACCCTCCAAACTCAAGCTCAACACTTACTGCTCGGGGGATGACGAAGCTTGCGGTCAGTATGGTGCAGGCTATCAACAGTAAAACAAATTTCAGTGCAAATGGAAGTACAAATGTGGTGTTTTCTCCTCTTAGCGTGTTTACAGTGCTAGCTATGTTGAGCGGGGGTGTGGACGGCAACACACTGTCGCAGCTTTTGACAGCATTGAATGCATCCGATGTTTATCAGCTGAGTGATGCTGTGGGACGCATGCTGTTGCAGGCTGCCAATGATAGCAATGCAAGCCAAGGTAAAGGGGGCCAGAGAACAATGCTGTTTGAGTTAGCGAACAATCTGTGGGTTCAGAACAGATTCCCTCTCACTGACCGCTTCGTCAACCTTACAAATTCAACGTACCATGCGGTTCCGCAGGTCGTCGACTTCTCTGTCGATGCAGAGGCCATTCGTCAGACGATCAATGCTTGGGTTTCAAACGTCACACATGGTAAGATTTTAGACCTTCTCCCTGTTGGTTCCTTGAGTAGCTTGACACGAGTGGTACTTGCAAATGCTCTCTATTTTAAAGCTGTGTGGGCCGACAAGTTCAACCAATCATTGACGGAGCCCGGGCCGTTCATGCTATCCAGTCAAACTTCGGTTGATGTCCCAATGATGAAGATGAAGGACCTGCATGGGTCGGTGCACAGCATGTGCAACAAAGAGGGATCGGCAGGGACCTTCTCTGTGCTGCGGCTACCATATAGAGTGGGGACGGAGAACGAACTTCAAGGAGTGGGTATGTCAGGGTGGGACATGTATATATTCCTCCCGGAGAGAGTCGATGGCCTCGCTGACCTCGTAGCGGAGCTCACTCCTGAGCAGTTGAGCACGTGTCTTTCAATTAGCTCAAGCCTAGACAGTGAGGTCTGGATTTCCGAGCTGAGGATGCCACGATTCCGTCTGACGTCAGATGCTTTGCTTCTAAGTGATACCTTTAAGTCAATGGGGATTGTGGATGCATTTGACCCATTGTCTGCAAACTTTGCAGCGATGACGAATTCCACGGAATCACTATTTGTGTCAGAAGTATACCACAAAGCTTACGTGGAAGTCAACGAGGAGGGGTCAGAGGCAGCAGCTGCAACGAGTATAATTGTGAGCACCTTAGCCGCAGGTCCTCCGGTCATCTCTGTTTCATTCATTGTTGATCATCCATTTTTGTTCATCATTCAAGACCCTTTAGGAAACATCATCATCATGGGACAGGTTCAGAACCCAAGCCTGTAGAAAGGCTTGGCGAAGTGGGCGTTTGAGCTTATTGGGAATGTGCCGATCTGGATTGTGGACGCGCTTGACCCAATCGCGATAAACGTTATGCCCATCGTGGAATCCCACCACCACCACCGAATACCTGTTTGCGTCGCTGTTGTACCACAAAGCTTAATACGTGGAAGCGACTTCCACTGTTGCACCAGTTGTGGCCACTGGTATGCTTGGTTGGAACGGTACCATCTCTTTAAACTCATTGCGGGTCATCCATTCCTGTACCTCGTTCAAGATGGGATTTCTGCAGCATTGGCTAGGAGATCGGCCGCACATGGCCACACAGATTAGCTCGCATTGGAAGTGGGCTCATGCTAGAGAGGAAATGTATAGCTCGGGCCCAGGTGGCATTATGACTTAATATCTTTTTGGTATGAGAGCAAGGAGAGGACTCACTGCAGTATACGTGAGTGATGGCCACATTCTTTTGTCTTTTCTTTCTTTTTAATGAAAACAGGTCCCCAAGGGATCAGCTCCATATCCATTCTCGGGATCATCACGATTCAGCAGTCCAGTTACTATTCCACCGACTTCTTAAAAAAAAAAAAAAAAATCCACCAACTTCTAGGTTCACAAAGGCTCCTACACTTATCATAGACTCGGATAGGGGTTGGGCTTAAACCACCAGTACTTCCTGAAGTTGGGCCTTTAGGAAACGTACTGGTCACTACAGGAGCGCCCAAATGCATCCGACTACAAATGTTTCTACTCTATTTTTTTCCGCGGCGGATAACTGGGCCAAGTACTGGTGGTTTAAGTTTATTTTCCCGCCCTCCGAACTGCAAACTGGTGGTTTAAGTTTATTTCTCCGCCGGCCCCTCCGAACCACAAAAGTCGAAGAACAGCTTCGATGAAGCAGAAGGTAAGTCAGAATAATATATTGAAGTCCACTCATGATGCCTCCCACGTTACTGCCTGGAGAGCCCAGACAGCTTTTTTTTTTTTTTTCTACACTTGCAGCGGAAGGATTGACTGTAAAGTGAAGCCATACTTGAAGACCAGTACTCTCCGCTATCCTGGTTGTTCCTCTAGGAAGAAGCAATGCCTGAAAATAACCGAAGTGGTAATTTAAAATCCCTTTTTATCCAACCTTGTGGACCACCAGAAAATGACTGTAGTAACCAGGATAACCCTGGTCCTACCTTCTTGAACTTCTTCCCCCAAGTATAATGAACGCTCATTATAGCTGTATTTAGACTGAAAGATACCGTAGATACACAGCTATAATTAGGGTACGTTGTATTCGGGGGAAGAAGGTAGCCCTTGTCGTCGTCTTTCTCATCTCACTTTTTTTTCCTTTTTAAATAAGCTATATTCTCCACTCAAGTATACCTCACACTACCAACCAATATGTGTAAGTATACTAGGAAGGAGCGGCCGAGATCTACCCGGTAGAGGGAACAGCCGAGATCTACCAAACCTAGAGTCTAACGCCCAGTGAGGAATAAGCAAAGACTGGCTGGGGGAGGAAACAAGGGGGCTGGATTGCAAATGTGGAATGGAAGGGAGAGGGGAGGGGGAATTCAGAGGACCTGGAGGAAGGAGAGAGGGACTATCACCTCTTGTTTCATGATTCAATTTGGACAAGGATACATCCCTCCAGCCCACTCCACCCCCTCTCCAAGTTCCCTGAGCTCTTCCCACCTCCGCCCCCGGCCATGGTGGAGGCGCAGTGGTATGGGGGGGAGTGACAGGTTTCAGAGGTTCTTCATATGATGGAGCTGCTTGGGGGAATTTGTGGGTGGAATGCGGGCAGGTACAGGCTTCAATGTGTTTTCTCGGTTATGATTGGTGTGATGCTTATTTGGGGGAACCTGCTAGCATAGGTGGGACAAAGCCAGCGGCCGAGTAGAGGAGTGCAGGCTGAAGAGGCAGAATCTCTTTTTTTTTTTTTTTTCAACACACGCCCCCACCAGTGCTAGCGGTGCTGTTAAGGGCAGTCACCACTAGCACCTGGGGAGAGGCTCCATCTATTGGTGGGGAGCAACACCTGCTGGAAAAYGGGTCMAGCGTCCCATATACAAGCTGAGTTTGAAAAGGATCAGAGATAGCGCATGTGTGGGGTCCTGTCAGMATTGATTACCCTGGAACCCAGGGGATTGACTGAACAGGCTATTGCTATGAGGGAGGAGCCTCTTCACCTAAAATTGGTGCCAGATATCTGCTTCTACGTGCTAGTCCCTCCCTTCACTTCCGGACATGGTTAAACACAGCATCAGAAAATTTGAAGAACCACTCTTCCTCATACCCGGAGATTCCTACTTAACCCAAAGTACAGCAACTCCCTGGTAAATCCGAAACCTTGGAGGCCCTCCTGGTGCCTCCCCCCACAATCACTCTCCCCCATACCAAGAAATTCCTACTAAACTGTTTGCAGAGGGGGGAAAGAAATCCGGGAAGTCGCTGCTCGGCCTCATTGGGGTTGAGYCATCCAGCTTGGTCCAGTCRTTGAAAAGGAGTTTGTAGTCTTTTGTGATTGTCACGTTGTCRCCCCTTTCCCCTTGTCCCCTACTTCCTCCATTSCATTCCACCCGTCCTATCCTCCCYCCCATTTCCCCCCCGAGCCAGTTTCTGCAGAAGTCTTGTATCCTCTGTTTTATCTCTTTCCCAGTGTGAATATGATTGATCTGTTTTTTGGTTTCTTCCCATTTCCCCATTATGTTTGTATGGATCTGTTGTTGTATACTCTCTGTGAATTCTGGCCCCTCCAACCTCATTCCTTCCATTTCAAACGTGCAGCGACGTCTCCACAGTGCCCGCATTATTGCCCTTCTTCCTTGTTGAAAGATATTGAGTGTGAAATCATCCTGCTGCTCAAGAGGCCATCTTTCGAACAGCAGGGCTTTCCAGTCCCATGGCCAAGGTACCCCTGTTCCTAACTGGTCCCATACTCTGTCCCACCAGCGCCAAAGCCAGACCGCTCCTGGGCATTGTAGGAATATGTGTTCCATTGTCTCCGGTATCTTTCTAAATGGAAATGCGTTGGAGAATATTCTGCACCAGGGGAGTGCCAGTCCCCTCTGTTCCAAGGTGGTTCTGTCTATCAACCAGTTGTTGGTTGGTAGGCAACGGTGTTCCATCTGCCATTGCAAGGATGCCAAGTTCGCCGGTTTCTTCTTGGTTAGCTGGAACCATTTCACGCCCCTCAACGATTCTTTAGCAATATTCAGTTGTTTCATCCATCTCTCTTCCACCTGGTCCCTTAGGTTAATTTTTGGACGGAGTAATCTGTATGTGGCTTTGACTGTCAAGTTATGCAGCGTTCTAGTGCAGGGTYTGCCTCTGGCAGTTGTGCTGGTCCATTCCCATTCCCCAGGGTCCAGGGGCAGATGGGATATCGGTATGTCCGGTGAGAATGCCACCCATCTGTCCTCCAGCCTCAACACTCTTATTCTCGAGAGGTCGTTCTTGTCGAGAAGTTGTATTTGCTCTGGGCTTGGTCTTTGGAGGGAGTTGTCGTTGCCGATTGTAAATATGTCCACCGCCACTAGTCCGTTTGGGTCACAGCTCACCACATTACCTACCTCTCCCTGACGTCCCCTAATTGCGACCCAGTCAGACTCTTGTAGCGATGGTCCTTTTCTCAACACTTTCCTCCAGTCTAAAGGAAGGCATTCGATCAAGTTTTCCATTGCCTGTTCTGGTCTGATGTCTCCCAGAAATGTTATAGACACTCGCATATCCTCGATGTATTTGCTGTGCATTTTCTAAAGGGCCGCTGGACCCGTTTTCCAGCTGGTGATGCTCCCCACCAATAGATTGGAGTCGAATACAGGGCTGCTAGGTAGGCCTGCTCATATTAGCAATCCTAGCAGACTCGGGGCCGTTTGAAAAGGGCGATACCAGTGAGGAATACCAGGGGTGAGGGCCTCTAAGAGAACCCAGGATGCTACCAAGACCAACTAGGGGTGGCAAGCTGCTGAACACCTAGCACACCACAGGTGGCTGTGGAGAATTGAACTCACGACTTCCCAAACGCCACTTGCATGTGAAACCAACTGGGCTATGGCATGCCCCCTTTTTCATTTTTGAAGAACCTTATTGTCTCAATTTTTCTGTTAAACCACCAGTACTTCCTGAAGTAGTACCCGTATACAAGCCACGGTGTTAGGAAACGTACGGGCCACTACAAGAGCGCCCAAATTCATCCGATTGGAAACATTTCTACTCTCCACCTCCACTACTACTGACTGTGGAGATTACTTCATTTGGAAGGATTGACTGTCAGCTGAGCGGTCGGAGCCCAAACTTCAAAGAATACCCTGTTTTTTTCTTTTTTCCTGTTTTCAAAGAATGCACCCAACTTGTTGGAAAGGGATCTCCTGACAGTATTATAGTAGGTTGTCTTGTTTGGGCCGTTTGTGTAATGATGGGTGCATCTTGACAATGTATGATAACTGCAGCAGGCCTCCATCTGCCCTGGCCTACAGCCAGGGCTATTTGGCTATTTGTCCGTTTGGTCTGAAATGGACCTGTGGGACCAGGCTGTTGGCCTGGCCCCACAGGCCATGTGAGTATTCACTTCATTCTTGTCCGGTACCACTATCAGTACCAGTCCAGTCCAGTCCATTCCAGTCAGTCTGCTGGGGGTATACTCCATCTGCAGTCTGTGTTTTCATTTGCACATCTTGGAGTATGCGCGTGTTGAGTCTGCGTCTATGTGTGTGTTGAGTTTGCGTCGGTGGTGCGCTGTCCCTTCCCGCTCCACCATCCCCTCCATCCTCACCCCTTGTCTGGACACTGACGGGAACGCCATCCCGACGGGTCCATCACACTGGTATTAGAGCGGGAACATTCCCTGCTCCCACCCATCCCACTCCGTCATGAACGGGCAACCCTTCCCGCTGCACCATCTCCTTCATCCTCACCCCTTTTCTGGACACTGACGGGACCGCAATCCCGATGGGTCCGTCACATTGGTATCAGAGCGGGAATGTTCCCCACTCCCACCCATCCCACTCCGTCATGAACGGGCAAATCCCGAACAGTGGGATTTCGACGCATTTCGGAGCTGCGAACACGAAAATGGTCGGAGAAATGTGCAGACACCAGCGCAAGGGAAGAGCACATGTCAGGGGAGAAAAGATCTCACACATGGCACACATGCGCATGTGCCAACAATGTCGTACACATGCATGCCCACACCCTGCTGCCCCACCTCGCTCCTAGATATATATCAATCAAGATCTGGTATGTTGTTGCCAGAGTCTGAACCTGAACCTGGGCAGCACCGGTTCATGGGCAGGCATAGCCAGTGCCTTAACAAACTGGCCAAAGTCTAAACAAGAGTTGGGAGTGTGGCACGACACTATTGTAGAGTGCCACACCAGCTATTTACCCCCCCTCCCCCCTCCCCCCTCCCCCCCCTCTTTCGATGAGCAGCGAGCAGCGAGCAACACGGCGGCGGCAGGTGGGCTACTATTTGTCCCCCCTTCCCACCCCCCACACCGTGGCTGCTGCTTCCCTCGCGCACATCGCCATCTGCAGTGCCACATGGCAGCTTGTTTAAGGCGTTTAAAGACCCCCTCTGGTTAGGGGGCTGCAGTACAGGGAGAACTGCGTTGCTGATCAGGGTCTCAGCCTACCCCAGATAAATATTTTTTAAATCTGCAGATCTGATCCATCCAATCAGATCCAACTGCTGCAGCAACAGTTCATCATCATCTTGAAGGTGTGTGAAGCCCAAGATCTTGTGGATCTTGGTGATTTTTTCTACTCTTGGCCACCCAAGAGCTCGGTAACAACCCTATACGTATTAATAAACTTCCCTCCCATCCTTTTCTCTTTCTCCCCCACATCCTCTCATCATCACCTTTTATCACTGGCCTCTCCTTTTTTCTTCACTTCTCTCTCCTCCTCCTAACCGCTCTCTCATATCCCTCACTTTTCACTCATTTTCCACCATGTTTTTTTCTCTTCTCCTCACTCACCCTCTTCTACTAATCTCTTACTTTACTCTCCATCTTTTCCATAATTTTCTCTCTCATTCGCCCACCCTCCTTCCCTCTTTTCTTCCGCCAACTATCCCCCCCGTAACTACCACCTCAAAAGTTTTCAATTTCACACCTCTCCCTCTCTTTTCTCACTACTTTTTCATCCCTCTCCACCAACTTCCAAATTTTCTCATTTTCTTATTTTGTGTTTCTCTTTGATTTCTTTTTCTTTTTCTTTCGAAAATTTCGAATTGTTTTATTAATCCTTCTTTTTCATTTTCTTGATTTTTTTTTTTCCTGCTTATCCAAACTTCTTTGTGGCACCCTCAAATCTTTTTAGGACAGCCATTCTTGTTGTTGGCGGACAGCTTGACCCCTTGGGGGTAATGACGTGTTGCCGAAATTTTCTCTGCCTGAGTTTCTTTTTCAAGCACAGTTTGATCCCTTGGGGGTACCGAAGTATTGACAAAATTTTCTCTTTTTACTTGGTCATTTTCTTTGTTTCTGAAAATTTTGATTTGCGCAAAATTTAAAAGTTTGTGTTTTCTTTTGTTTTTTCTCTTCTCTTGCACGTTCTAGCGGAAGATTCACTCTCGTTTTGCACATTTGGAGAGTAGTGGAGCGAGGCCCCATTTCTCGATTTATGCACACAGAATCCACCCATGGTTCACGTATATTGCATTGAGTACTTCCCTTGCTGTAATTTGAAAAAGATCAGCCAACCAACGGGCCTAGCCCAATTGGGACCACACCCATGAACTCTTGAAATACAGACCCGAGTTCGAGCCCAGATGCAATCAAATGGACATAATAAAATAATTCTCAATTGCCTGAGTTGGTCAGCTCAATGATCATGCCTCCGGATCGGACCCCTTCAAGGACACGACGCCTCCCGCTGTCGACAGAACCGATCCGCCAAAGCAACGACCCGCGACACGAGAACGTCCTCTCCCATGACCGATCCTCTTACCTACCCCAACTAAGCACACCACGAATCCCACTCCCCCCCTCTTCCATCTCTCCCCCCCTCACCAGCAACGACCCTGTGGCGAGAACCTCCCTTCCCGCCACTTCCACGACCATCCCACGTGTTGGTGAGTACACAATGCCGACTACAAAATCAGAGTGCTACCTCCGGACACTACAGCTACACGAAAGACACATGGCCGCAATAGCCGAATGGGATTGGAAAGCCCCCATGCCGTACAAAACCCCATCACATATGTACACTTTGGCATGGCGCGGGGTGAGCGTTCGTTGTTTTGTGTGTCGTCTTCAAGCAAGTGACGGCATAGCAGCAGCGCGTAGGAGAAAACAACAAGCACCACCAACATGCACATGCAGGACGCCCACGCCCCCCCATCCCACCTCGCCGTCTCTCCGGAACAAACGAAGATCACCCTATCCCACCCTCCCTTCGATGGTCGTGTCCACTACGAGCCCGTCTTAGAAGACTCCAAAAAATCTTCGACGGCCACGTCGAATGGTCGAAGACGGGCGCCATGAACGCTTCATCAACCCCCCCCGCTGGCTTCGTCATCGACTTTTTCTTCTTCTTCCTCATCCGGGGGGCCTGTACCCAGCCAATCGAGCTTCCTGGCGTCCATGGGGGAAGGCAAGTTGGCGCTATGTGAGAACTTGACGCCACAAGACACCTAGTCGGGGATATATAACGGAGGGTCCACCAAAGTCATGGGGGGTCTCGCCAACTTGTCCATGATGACGATCGCAGCTTGAAGGATATTGCGACGCATGTTGAATGAGCAATGCATGGATGCGATGAACATTGGCTTCGTTGTTAGTTGGACAAAAAGCCACGCGTCGTAATGAACCACATGGTTGCCGCGAGCATGATCCTCATCGTGTCGGCAATGCTCTTCAACCTTTCGTAGGACACCCGCCAGTCGTCGACCCCCTCCGCCATGCTCACGGCTCTCGTGAAAGCCCCCACCAGTCGCTGGATGCTCGCCTCCTGATACGACGCCAACTCGTTGTCCTCGTGCCTGTCCTCGATTTCGGTGGCGACGAACCACAGTGGCAACTTCATATCCATGTCCAGAGTACTATGGAAGACCATGGGGCTCACACTTATACGCCAGTCCTCCCCCATCCAGATCGCTCGAGCGATGTCAGTGGCAGCGTTGTTCAGCTCGTACCCGTACGAAGCGTGGTACCCTCGTTGCCTGCTCGCTGACTTGAAGACCCACCCATGGATCACCCGCAAAGTGGTCTGCACCTTCAGCGCCCTTTTCCTTGGCAGCGTTCAACTCCGTTTTGTCCTCGATTTTGTGTTGCGGGATGGTGGTATGAGGCAAGACAATGCTTCGACGAACGGGCGGACACTGCACTCCCCATGCCACCGCCACAAGATGCGGGCTCGCTTCCTGTATCAACTTTACTATGGCGTTCCCTTCGGTTTCGTTCCAGAAGCGAAGGTCGTCCGCCCAGTGTTTCGTCGCCGCCTCCATTCCATCCCGCGTGTTATGTTGTCGCACCTTGTTCACCAGCGCTTCGTCGTCCTCCCCTACTCCGGCGACATCGCCTGCCCTTGCGCCTTCCCCTGCGTGTGAAGCCACCCCCGCTGCAGCCCCTGCCCTCGCGCCTTCCCCTGCGTGTGAAGCCCCCCCTAATATGGCTCCTGCCCTCACGCCTTCCCCCGCGTGTGAATTCCCCCCCGTTGCGGGCCCGTGCGCCTCCTGCTCAGGACAGCAGTTCCTATTCCCCTGACCGATGGCTTGCAAAGTGCCGCCAACATCTGCAACCGTCATCGACCGTGAGGTTGTTGGTGTTCGTGCGCGGACAGCAGGCTCATGTGTGGTCGGGGTGTCATTCAAACGCGGCACAGGCGTGTGCATTTGCTGTGCGATGGCACCTGCCACGCCCTCCCTGGATGCCGTCGCGGCGTCGACGTCAATGGCGTCTTCCATGACTGCACGGCCTCCTCCGCCTCGTCTTTCGCCACCCTCATAGCCCCCCTCTTCGATTTGGATGCCTTCACCCGTCCTCCTGAAAAACCTCCTCTTCAACAACACTTCCTCCTCTTCTTGGAAGTCGCTTTCCTCCTGCGTCGCCACCCCCTCCCCCACCCACTCGTCATCTTCGTTATAACCTGCAACAGAAGGCCCGCCTTGGATGACCTTCCTCTTCCTGTTGACGGTGTGACGACCCTTTTTCTCCCTTCCCGCCGCTTCCACTGCCTTGTTCATGCCGGACTTGCCGCGTCCAACACCGTGGGACGACATGGCGCCAATTTACACACTTCAAGATTGATCAGCCGCAAAGTTGAACTCTCCGCGGAGATGGTAGAACGTGCCCTGTGTTCGGAAAGATAGTCTCCACTGCGATGGCGGCGATGGCGATGATGGTGACGATGTCGACAATGGCGATAATAGCGACGACAACGACGACGACGACGGCGACGATGGCGACAACAGTGACGATGGCGACAACGACGAAGACGACGACGATGGCGACAACGACGACGATAGCGATGATGGCAACGACGACGAAGGCAACGACGGCGAAAACAACGACGATGGCGACGACGACGAAGACGGCGACGATGGCGATGCACGAAAAATCAAAGATGGCAAAGACGGCGACGATGGCCAAGGTGATGGCAACAACGGCGAAGACGATGAAGACGGCGACGGCAACGGCGACGGCGACAACGGCGAAGACGGAGACGACGACGATGATGGCGACGATTGGCGGCGGGTAGTGGGGTGCGGAATGCGTGCAGAAGGCAGCGGCTTGTGGGAGCAGTACTGCACGCAGAAGGCGGAGAACCCACCGCAAGGCGGGGATCGTCGAAGATGGGGAACCCACTGCGGCGACTACCTTTGTTTCGCGGAGAAGAGCAAGCGCGGAGAGGAGGCAGGAGCAGATGAAGGCAAGACGGCGAGACGGCGAGTGTAAATCGGGCGTCTAAAGTCCAATCGTGCATTTGGCAAGGATGCCCGCATCTCTATAAATACGTGTGACGCGGGTTGGACGGCGAGGAAGGACTACTATCCCGCCGTTCAACGACAATTCCATCGCCCTTCCGTCGATACTATGGTGTCGTAGGGGTCATCGCTCACTGCCAAACGAAAGGGGAAGGGTCGCGGGGTAGGTGGGTGTGCATCCGTCACCTCACCACCCTTCTTGTCGCCACCCTTGCTGAATTCAAGAGAGGGAAGGACCTCGCGCGCCACCGCGACAGGACGGCAACCGCGAAGCCACGGCACGCGAATGGACATGAACGCCCGCACTTCCCCGATCCCACTGTCCCCAAACCACCCGCAACCCCCAACCCCTCCCCCCCCCCCCCCCCCCCCCCCCCCCCACCCCCCCCCCCCCCCCCCCCCCCCCCACAAACCCCCCCCCCCCCCCCCCAACCCCCCCCCCCCCCCCCCCCCCCCCCCCCCCTCCCCCAACACCATAGCATACATAAGGAAGGGGAGGGGTTAACGAACCCCCCACCAAGACCTCCGACAACCGCCACCCCACCCGGGGACCGAAAATGGCACGAAATAAGCAAAAAATTAAAACAACACATTTCGAAATGTCCAATTGTAATGACTAGACATCCAACCCGCAACGACGATTTCCAAAGAACACAAGGTGGACATCTGCTTCGACGACTGTGTGAGGGTATTCACGATTTCGCCAACTGCGATTTTCGTTTGCGAGAAGAACAACAACATTCCATACAAGGATGGCAGTAAAGACAACACCTTTGTTAAACGTTTGCATTTTTTTTATTTCATTTGGGGAGATGACACCAAAACACATGTTGTAGAGAGAGAGAGAGAGATAGAGAGAAAGAGAGAGAGAGAGAGAGAAAGAGAGAGAGAGAGAGAGAAAGAGAGAGAGAGGGGGGAAGAGACGAAAAGAGAGAGACAAAGGGAGAGAGACAAGTAGATAGAGAGAAAGAGAGAGAGAGGGGGGAAGAGACGAAAAGAGAGAGACAAAGGGAGAGAGACAAGTAGATAGAGAGAAAGGGAGGGAGAAAAGCAAATCCAGGTCATCATTAAAAAAAGAAAAATGCATACTGCACTTCAGCGGCGCGAATTTAAATTATGAGATGACCGAATAATTTGTCCCGCCCTACGGCAAAAGCTTACAACAAACAAAAAAAGAAAACGTCAATCTCCATAGAATTACTCATCCACCCGATCGGATGACCACCCACTTCCCTGGCCAGCACGATGTCCACGACGGCCCGCTCACGACTACAACGACGACGGAAAGGCTCACACTTTCTCGTCGTCCACATCCATGGAAGCGACAATGCGCACAACAGAGGCAGCACGAGCTCTAACGCTCACGAATGGCCTTCGCTATCTCCAACACAGCATGGCACATCAGTTTGCTAACTTCGTCTGACGCTGCGTAGAGCTTTTTCTGCACGTCAACCTCCGCTTCTAATGCCCCGCACTGTCGGACTTGGATGGAGCATTGCCGCTTGTTGGCGCTCTCCATCGTCGACGCCATTAGCGCCCCCTGCTTCTTCATGCATTTTGTCATCGCTTCGAAAGTTTACTGCTTCGTGCTCTTCCTCTTGCCGAAACCGCCGGGTCTATCCGTCGTTTGAGAAGAACCTTTCGTCGACCCATCATCGTCGTCGTCGTGCCCTGCACCAGCGTCCGATCGCCCACAGATTCAGGATCCGCAGAAGAGGCGGACGGCAGACGCACACCACTCGAAGCACCCATGTCGGCGACGTTCTTGGGGTTTATGGTGTGGTTCTTGACGGTCGACCCAACTATCTCGTCATAAACCGCACGATCCATGTGGAAATCGAAGCCCTTGGAAGTCCTCTCCTTCCCAGAGAATTGGAAGAAGTCCTATTTCCTGGACCAGCCTTGGAAGTGATGCACCTTCTTGAACTGCTGCATCAAATTATCCCACTTCTTCCCGCAGTTATCTGCGTCTCTGCCGACGCCCACCTTCTTCAACCTCACATCTAACCACTTCCATTCTCGCGGCTTCATTTGAGCTTAGGCGTGACCCATCCCCTGTAGATGCGCATCCTGGTCACGTTTAGCCCTTACGAGGGTTATAATGTCGTCGACGGACCAGAAGTGACGACCTCCTTCCGCATCACCGTCACCTTCGGCATCGCTCCCCTTCCCCGCCGCTTTTTCCCCCAACGACCATTGCGGGCAGATGCCTTCGCCCCTTCGTCTTCCCGCCCCTGCCTCCCATGCTGTCTTGCCTGAACGGCGACACTTAGCCTTCGTCCTCCTCCCCACCTTCTCTGTCGTTGTCGTCGTCGTGATCGTCCGCATCCAAAACTGGTGCTTCCTTTTCGTTTTCGTGCTCCCCCACACGCAGTCACTGCACCCCCCGAGTTATGGATTCTTCGCGCCCCGACCGGAGCCCCCGTCGGTTCTGCCCACACCTCCCTCCCGTTCCGGTTGTCACCAATATCGAGGAAGCCAGAATCCGTCTCCCCGCATTCGCCACGATGACGGGCTGCACTCGAACCGGCGGACAGGGGAGACGGAGACTGCATCCACCGGGGACAGGCGGAGGCACCCCTCGACACACACGACGACCGGGATTGCTGCCTCTGAGGATCTCTGTTGCTCCCCGACGTCTCCTGAACCGGCGTTGGAGACTTCGATGACCGCACAACCGTCGTCGCTTGCCCGCCGTCGTCGTCGGGGTGGGGGTTAACGACGACCGTTCACGAGGTGGCCAATGACCTCCCGCTACACAGCCCGAACGACAGATTCATGCCGCCATCGCCTTCGTCACCGTTGAGCCCCTGGAGTTCGGTGTACGGCTGCCGATACGCGCCGTTGCGGCTTCCACACAGCTCTGTAGCCGCCCACTCCTGGGTGGAACCGCTTCCCAAGGGCACGATCCGTGACCGTCTCTCATCCGCCTCCTCGTCGGACGTATCCGACAGAGGTTGCAAGTGCAGTGGTAGGTGCGCGTACCTAGATTGCTCCGACGGCCTTAAACGACTCGACGGGCTTTGCCCAGCCCGCTGGTCACCACCCAGGTCCCCTGCAGACCTGCAGATCGCCTTCCGCCCCTCCATCCTGACGTCCTTCTTCGAAGACTGTCTTCTGCGTGCACGTCGTGGAACGCCACCAAGGATGCACACGTGGAAGACAACTAAAACGACGAGCAAGAGGACGACCAGCACCAGCAGCAGCAGCCTCCGAAAGACGTCGGCCATGAAAGGCACGTGGACGACGACAGCAGCTAGAAGACAATGGTGGACGTCCAGGAAACGGCGAGGAACAGTGGTGCAAACGGCCGATTGCAGATAACGACAAACGAAGGGTAACGTATTCCGTCGCGGAAGACACTTCGCAATCGTGAGAACGGGGGCCGGCTGAGATATTCGAATCTGCCAGCCGTTGGGCGCCTTCCCGCTCGGGGCCAAGGGCACCGACGCAAGACAGCCCCTTCTAGACGTCTAGGAGGCCGGCGGGTCGGCAACGGTGACCGTTGGCGGACCATTCCATGACGCTGAACGTTGATGACCGAAGATGTCCGTCGAGAGGCCGCCAGGAACAGCAATGGACCAGCTGAGTTCGAAATTTGTCGTCGAGAGAGCTGCCGTCAACGCCCCGATTCTTCCAGATGCTCGACCTCCGAGGGACCTCGGGAGGTTCCTTGGCGAACGCATCGAAATGGCTGTAGCCCGAGGAATCCCCAAGGAATCCCCGAGGAAATGTTTTCACATTTTTTTTCCACTTTCTTCCCCGAGGATAAGTGGAACGATGAATTCCTCGGAAGATTTACGCACCCGAGGAGTATCTAACGAGCCCCTAAAAACTACTGCAGTTCTGAATTACCTGGGGGGCGCTGCCGGTTCGTTCAAATGATGATGTCTCAAGGCCAAAAAAAAAGAAAAAAAATAGAAGGGAGAAGGGGAGAATAAAATGAAAAAATAAAACTTTAAAGGGAAAAAAAAAGATCAGCCATGATGACAGCTGGGCTCAAACTTTATATTTCTTCTTGAGCATCAGCTCACTTCAAATTCGGGCCTCATCTGTGTGGCCACGTGCTGCCGTCCCCTAACCAGTACTCCTGAAACAAGCCACTGCTTATCTTCTGTGTCACTAAGTCCATTCCTGTTTCTTTCTTTTTTTTTCTTAAAAAAAAAAGGAAACCGGAAAGCCCTTTCACAAGTCCACCATGCTGGCGGTGGTAAGAGAACCACCGGGATTGAGGCCTTGGCTATTGGGCTGCTCCATCTATTGGAGGGGAGCAGCGACACCTGCTGGGGAAACCGGGTCCAGCGGCCCTTGGAAACAGCATTAGAATACAGTGTGTAGGGGCTATGGTCATTAGCTTTCCTGCCTGGCAGAGGTTTATAGGTTTAGAGTCTAGGTTTACACTTAAACACTGAAACACGAATAGAATCAGTTTTATGGGCTTAGGGTCAGCCTGGTCAGGTTTTATGGGTTTAAAGTCAGGGTTTATGGGTTTAGAGTCCGGTTTATGGGTTTAGAGTCAGGGTTTATGGGTTTAGAGTCCGGGTTTATGGGTTTAGAATCAGGGTTTATGGGTTTAGAGTCTAGGTTTACCACCCTATCTCTACCCTTCTCTTGTCTTTTGTCATGTGTTACCATCCATCTCAAGCTTACTTCGGTAAAGGTTTTCATATTATGCAGGTCCACCATCTCCACATTATGCATTCGAGGCTATTATCCAGGCATGAACATGCAGTTTCTAAGAGCGAATCTGACCGATAGATTCTTGGAATGACCTTGGGTCAGCATAGGATCTCTGAATGGCATGAACACTAGCTCCTTCACACAGCAGAGAATATGACTGCAAATATCTACTAGTCATTTGCTTTCCTCTTGATGGTCACGCTTCCTGTCAGTGAGTCCTCGTAAATCTGGTCCCGGAATAGATAACCGGCAAATTCGCGGCAATGAAAGAGAGCGAACTGTTCCGATCAAGCATAGTACCAGGGACGACCGTTGCCGTGGCTGGCTCCTCCACGTTGAGTAACTTGAGTTGACTTCCACATACTAAGCTTCGTGCTGCAACTGCTACACGTACACCGATTTGCTGGTGGTGGTCACGGTGGCGGCAGTCGACTTGGCTGTAAAGTTCGCAGCGATTGGATCAAAGTTCCATCAATTTCCGCATCAAACACACCCACAATCCAGATCAGCGCATTTCTCACAAACGGATATTAGAGCAATTGGTTCTACAGGGTTGGGTTCTGGACCTGTCCCAAAATGATGATGTTTCCTAAAGGGTCTTGAATGATGAACAAAAATGGATGATCGGCGATGAACGAGACAAAGGTATGGGGAGGAGGTCCGGCGCCTAAGAGCCCAACAGCCGTTGCAGCCGCTGCCTCTGAGCCTTCCTCGTTGACTTCCACGTAAGCTTTGTGGTATACTTCTAACACGTAGGGTGATTCAGCGGCGTTCGCCATGGCTGTAAAGTTTGCAGACAATGGGTCAAATGCATCCACAATCCCCATTGACTTAAGGGCATCACTTAGAAGCAGCGTGTCTGACGTCAGACGGAATCGGGGCATCCTAAGCTCGGAGATCCAAACCTCACTGTCTATGCTCGAGCTAATTGAAAGACACGTGCTCAACTGCTCAGGAGTGAGCTCCGCAACGAGGTCAGCGAGGCCATCGACTCTCTCTGGGAGGAATATATACATCGCCCACCCCGACGTACCCACCCCTTCATTCTCCATCCCCACTCTATATGGTAGCCGCAGCACAGAGAAGTTCCCTGCCGATCCCTCTTTGTTTCACATGCTGTGCACAGACCCTTGCAGATCCTTCATCTTCATCATTGGGACATCAACCGAAGTTTGACTGGATAGCATGAACGGGCCGGGCTCCATCAATGATTGGTTGAACTTGTCAGCCCACACAGCTTTAAAATAGAGAGCATTTGCAAGTACCACTCGTGTCACGCTACCCAAGGAACCAACAGGGAGAAGGTCTAAAATCTTACCATGTGTGACTTTTGAAACCCAAGCATTGATTGTCTGACGAATGGCGTCTGCATCGACAGAAAAGTCGACGACCTGCGGAACCGCATGGTACGTTGAATTTGTAAGGTTGACGAAGCGGTCCGTGAGAGGGAACCTATTCTGAACCCACAGATTGTTCGCTAACTCACACAGCATTGTTCTCTGGCCCCCTTCACCTTGGCTTGCAGTGCTATCATCGGCAGCCCGCAACAGCATGCGTCCCACGCCATCACTCAGCTGATAAACATCGGATGCATTCAGTGCTGTCAAAAGCTGAGACAGAGTGTTGCCCTCCGCACCCCCACTCAACATAGCTAGCACTGTAAACACACTAAGGGGAGAAAACACCACATTTGTACTTCCATTTGCACTGCCATTCGCACTGAAATTCGTCTTACTGTTGATTGCCTGCATAACACCGACAGCAAGCTTGTTCATCCCCTGAGCAGATGAGTTTGAGTTTGGTGGGTCAATCCAACTTATCCAAGCCAGAGTTCGGAGAGGGCGTGTGCGTCTGAGATAACTTGTATGAGTCCTTAGAACTCTGCGCTCCGTACCCTCTCTGAGCAGATGGGATGCGGCATGGCCGGAGTCTACCATCCTCCCTTCACCGTTGTCATCACCGGACAGTTTGTCATGTACTTCAGCCAACTCCAGTCGGCGATCCTCTCTCAGCTCAGCTTGACGAACCGATGAAACGACTTCAACTCCCCGTCGATCGTGTTGTCCATTCTTGTGTGTAGTCTTGGCTTTTCCAATTTGCAAAATTGGATCAGGTGGCAGCAAACTCGATGCATTCGCAGCAGAAGCTCGGAGATCGGCAACTATGATCAAGATGATCGCAAACGAGAGCTTCAAAGCTCACACACAGTGCTGCAGAAAAAGAAAAACATACGCAGTGTCCGGCAGCGACATGGAGGAAACATTACCCAAAGCAGCAAAGAATGTAAACAAAAAATATAATCGTCAATTTTACTGGATCACAAATATGTACCAGAAAGTTTAGCATGGAGCTAGGAACTTAGGAAGTGGGGAAAGACGGGCAGAGCGGGGTAGTAGGGCGCTGTTAGAGCGCCGCTCTAACCCCCCCTACCCACGCTCTAACCCCGTTCTACCTCTTTTCCCCTCCGTGACTCCGTCTCACCCGCTTTTGACAAACGCGCGAGGGGTGGGGGGTTGCGGATGATGAGGACTAAGGCCCCCCCACTCCGAAAACAACCCAAAAAAAAAACACCCCTCTACGCCTCTACACCCATGAACATCCCTCCCCTACAGCGATCAACACACCCATCCCCTGCACCCCTGCCCAAAATCCCTCAACATACCGCCACCCCCCCTCCATCCCTTAACACCCTGCCCTGCACCCCTCAGCACCCCTCCCCTACACCCCTCAACACCCTTCCCCAACGTTCCTCAACTTGAACACCCCTCCCCAACAACCCTCTACACCCCTCCCGCCACTCGCAGATGCTCCTGACGCTCTAGACTGCCACCGTGACGTTCTCTCTCTCTCTCTCTCTCTCTCTCTCTCTCTCTCTCTCTCTCTCTCTCTCTCTCTCTCT